TCTCTTCGATCGCGCGCTCTTAAAATCTTAAAAACTAACGGTGACGACGGTCCGGCGGACACGCCGATAGAAAAATCGTATTACGTCCTGGAAGTTCAAACCGGATATTCTCGCCATCTCGCCATCATTCTCGGCATCTCGGAGAGCCGAGAGGCGGAGCGAGATAAAACCTCTGTGGATCGGGTTAAATCTCCAGGTGCTGGGTGAAAACTTTCCGCGCGCCGCGCGCCCGCCCGCACACGCGCTCGATCCATCGCCGAAATACTTTTAATGCGTTCAACGCGCGCAACTTTCGTCGAATAAACATATTCCTTCGGGGGGAGGTGTATATGCGCGTCCTCTCTCGCGTCATTACCCACGGAAACGAAACTTTCTCCGATTCTCGCGCCCCACGGGGAGAAGCGTGGCCTTTGAGCGTGGCGCCGCTAATTACTGGCCATCATTAATACAGGCCGCCCCAGTTGCTTGCTCGACGCGCGGGCGTGCTATTAAACGTTCCCCGCGTGGACGTCCCGCGGAGAGATCGCTCGAAAACTAGCTAACTCCGGTCGTCGATTATTTTTGTCGATCGATCACCGATCGATGGCCGGTGGCGGATGTTGCGGCGAGAGCGAGAGCCTTGTAGCCGAGCAGCATCAGCTTGTAATCGGCTCCCGTGGAACGCGTTGCTGCCCCTGTTTCGCGCAAGAAGTAGAATGAGGTTTAAAGTATTAAACGTTAATAATTTCATTAGTAGATAATACTCTATGAGCTCTATAAGCGTGTCGATATATCGACCGTTACGAGTACACTTCTACGCTGGAAACAACAAAAACCGATATATCGGCTTTTAGGTATTACAGAGGAGGGTTAATAGTTTGGTGTACTGCCTGTGGAAAGTCAGTTCTCTCCCCCGAACTACAAACGCACGGGCCTTCGACCCTTGTCGAAAGCCCCGCGCGTGCAGGGCTATTGTCTTCTCTTCATTGAATGTTCATTGAAATTTGATTAAAAGTAGCATGAAGTATTACAAAACATCTTTACAATTTAAAAAATGGATATGTTTCGATTTTTTTCACTATTATTATTATTATTCTTGACGAGAGGACAATCCTTCGATTCAAATAGATCTGCTCTCGAAAACCGAGAGATCGATATATAAAATTAAATATAAAATTAAAAGCAGAGAAAATTGATGAAAGCATATATACATTTATAATCACATAATCAAAATTAACCCTTCGATGACATACCATACCATTTTATTATGGAAGCAACAAACTGAATATTGTGTAAAAATATAGTACGAAAATAAACGTACAACAAATTTCGTTTTTTAATTATTTTAATAAAATTATTAGATATTAATATTTTAATAAATTTTGATTTTTTTAAATTGAAACAGACGTTAATATAAATATAACAAGTAAAAAAAGTAAATGTATATTTTTATTAATATAAATATACATTTAAATGTATATTACATTACATTTATTATTATTAATTACATCAATAATGTATATTTTTATTAATAAAAATGTACATTAATATAAAATATACATTAATAAAAAATTATAATATATAAAGTAAAAGAAAACATAAGATATACCCAGTGACGTCAAAGGTAGGCATGTCCATCCAGATGTTAAAAAATTTAGCAAAAATGGAAATAATCAATTTTGACTACCGAGAGATTTGTTTACAAGCACAGTAGAAAAAAGTTCAAAAAGTAATATGAGAGATAACATATACTTATAATTATTAGAGATTATTCGAAAACGTTGTAATGTATTTCATGAAGTTAAAGTTGATTATATTCCCATACTTCAGTCAATCGATTTATATTGCAATTAAAATTGCAATACTTTATGTCATGAAATGTCTTTTTGTTCTTCAGTGCTGGCAATTTTAATTCGCGTAGAAGTAACTTGCTGTCCCTGACAAGCAATCACTACGTGCGTAGTTTGGCTGCGCGATAATTAGTGCAACAATGAAATCTTGTGTGTGCCGCGCGTTTATCGACATCAAATGCATTGATCGCACAAGATCAGATAAGGGAACGATATTCAATTTGGAATAAAGTAAAGAACAAAGCGTGTACGATCCGTTCGTACGATACGCCGCTCTCGATCGGCGGCGGTCCGAGTATCGCCGAAAGGCGAAAACGAGAACGGTAAACGGAAATCGGTAAGCGATTAAGCTGGATCCGTTTACAGGGAGAATGCGGAGGGAAATTCGATCGCACACGTGCCCAGGAAGCGCACGAGTCCTCGACGAGAGTTCGAGTTCGAGTTGATAGCTCGCAGTCGTGATAAGCATCACCAGAGCAGCACAATAAACACACGGAAATCGCGTTAGCAACCCAGGTTTATTACGAGGGTGCGAATTAACAATAGCGGCTCGCTGGTTGGGCCAATCTACGAAACTTGCGATTATATACATCCTCCGACCGCGGAAAAGGGTATTGTCGAGGGAACGCCGCCGTTGCGACGTTGCGAGGGGAATGAAACAGAGAAATACACCAATCAGTGAAATTACGAATGTCCGTATATTTGACCTTAGCAGTAAGTGTGAATAGTAATAAAAATAATAATAATAATAATCGCATCGTATAATCATAGTACATCGCGTATAACGATCGTGACGTGTTTCTCTCTCTCTCTCTTTCTCTCTCTCTCTCTCTCTCATAAGAATCTAAAAGTAGTAATCGTAATAATACAATCGATAAATTGCGGTAATAATTACTATACTGTAAAAAAAAAATCACTACCATCTTTGGGAGACAATATGCGTAAAAGAAAGAGAGGAGGGGGGGGGGAGGGAGGGTAAGGTAGCGAACGCCGTGAAAACTTAAGATTCAAGGGGGTGGAGAAGACGAGTGAAGGAAAGGATGGGCAAAGAAAGGGGGGGAGGAGAGGGAGTTCTTTCGTACAAAATTAGTTCCGCAGGTCTAGTTTAAGGTAATTAATAATATTACCATCATAATATTATATCCAAAGTCCTGCCAATCGTAAATAACTGCCCGAAAGCGCAGTATATTCACCAAAAGTCACACCTCTCTCTCTCTCTCTCTCTCTCTCTCTCTCTCTCTCTCTCTCTTTCTCTCTCTCGCACGCACGTCTGCACATGTACACGCACACACGTACGCTCACTCATTTTTCATTCTTTCCCTATCTCTCTCTCTCTCTCT